TTGAACTTACACACTAACTACAACTACAAAAGCAGCCCTATTTACACGTAAAATAAATCTGAAAACTAAACAAAAGGTGTCAGGGATTCGAAAACAAAGATGTGCACTAAAGAAGGTATGTAAAGTGTCTAATCTTGAAATAATGCAAGTAGCCTTAACACAATCAAGAAACATTGTACTAAGATTGCTTCAAAGTATGATGTGACTTCAATGGACGCAAAAAAGAAAAAAAAAATCGAATGCACTTTGTTTGTATATGACTTCTGGTTTGTAAAATTAATATCAAAAACAAGTTGACAGCATTTTTTCTTTTACATTACTTTCTGTACTACAAGTCCTCATTACAGCCTATTTTAAACAATTACACTGTCAGCAGGAGCTGTAATCTCCAACTGCTGCTAAACGCCCAAATTTCCACATTTGCTGGAAACTATAATTGTGAGCTGCCCTTGGCGCTTTGCAGATGGGCTCTGCTGAGCAATCTGAATATCCCTAATATTAACCAGTTCCTCTCAAGGGGAAACACAAACATTAAAAAGGTCCAAATAATTCCGGTCAAATTACACAACCCTTAATGAACTTCAAAAGACGTACGGATGTTTTTACGGGCCAGCGCTCAGGCTTTAAAAGTAATTATGAAAGCAAACCATATTAATGATATCATTTATCATTTCCACACTTAAGCCACATGAGGCCCACCACAAAGTTCCTCTCTCTACTGGACAAAAGAACCAAGTAGTCTACGAACTTAAAATGTAAGACTTTCCATATACCGGTCAGTTTTTTCATCTTGCTTAACAATCCTATGGGCCAAAATCCAAATTACTTTACGTTGCATGCACAAATTCCCAACTCCCAACATTGCTGCTAAAATCTGATTAAACATTGGACCAGAGTCTGACACATATATGAACAAGATATCTACCCTCCAGAAAAATATAATCTTGTTTATGTGAGACTAATGTGACAAAAGGTCTAAAGATCATTTCAAGGAGTTTTGCTCTAGGATGACCAAAGTGAGAAACTGCACCCACAGACACAATATGGCAAAGGCTGTGTAATGTTGAAAGAGTAACCAAGATGAAATAAAGGTAATACAAGTTACCAAATTACATGATTCAAAAGAATACATATAAACTGGGTGCATTTTCTTGACATAAGGACACAGTAGTCAGCTTCCTGCCTCCCACTCACACAGGAGAAAAGTATAGCAGCTTGTTTAAATTCCACACACTAGGACTTCTGCTGTAAGTCTGGCTTTGCTCCAAATGATGTCTCATGGGTATACATACCACTGAATTTTTTTCCAAATGTCATTTATAATTAAAAAAAAACGTTTGACTGGAAGCTTTTTAGAAAACACCTGTAACAAATACAGTAGATGTTCTGAGACAACATGCATTCCACCAACACTGGTAAGTGACCTCTGGCTGTGTATCAAGGATAAAATAAATAAATAAAATTAAAAAAAAATAAAATCTAAATTTACATCGAACTACTGCATGAGCAGCAGCCACCTGCACAGTATAATATTTACCATTAGTTCTGGGCAGCTCAAGCTCATGTGTTACAAATCTTTTTGCCACAGTCTATATAATTAGCTGTAATTGACTCCCCTTGAAATGTGTTTCTTCTGGGACATCTGGCCTTGAAACTCCAACCTTCCCATGAAGGGCTAGCGCCAAACTACACTTTCAATTTTGCAAACTGCATGGGTGGCAAAGGTAGGACCAGACCCTAATGCAAAAATAAATCTTAGCAAAATGCCGTACATATACCCCACTTCCAAGTATTTATAATTAAACATAATAATAATAATAATAATAAAACAGCTACAGTATAAAGAAGGATCCACAAACTGTATGTTGTAGCCTACCCAGAGACACACATACATACACGAACACTCAGACACACATCTAGTGTTTTTTTTATATACATCACATCCTGAATGTGAAAGAGAAATTCTCTCATCTGCCAGCTGATGTCAGATAAATATAATTCAAGCAAGCAAGTGCAGTCAGGTTGCTTTTACAAGATGAATAGTGAGTATTGATTTTTATAAGTTGTTAAAAGCTGCTGTTTGGTCGGAATCTCTGAGGCAGAAGTTAGACTCAAGGACAGGGTCCAGTAAGCGAAATCTAAAGGGGGTAATATAATGGAGGGACTGCAATATACAGTATCCTGTCACAGTGTCAAAGTGCTCTCCCAGTATAGCTCTCTCTCTCTCTTGAGAGATGGTGTAGTTATCAGTGACTCCTCAGGCTTTGCCAATATGAAATAGATTGTCATATCTGATATTTCCTGTGTCAGCACTGAGGATGTTGATGGCCCTGGGAATGGGTAGTGACTATTATTGGAGGAAATCAATTAAGAAAATTAATGTAAGCTCTTACTGAGCTCTTTTTTCATTAGCTGGGGTTAAAGTTTCATCTCATCCACTCTCAGGCTTTTCTTGAGCCAAATGCGGGCCAGTGGTGGTTAATGCATTTTTACTGTACTTCTAGCTGTGAACCTCCTTCAAAAGCACTTGTATAAGCCATCTGAGATTGGAGTTATAAAGGTCATTGGATTCAGTCAAATATAGCAATAGAACACAAGGTGAAAATGATGGGACGCGGAGGCAGCAGTCTAAGCAAAGATGCCCAGACTTTCCTCTCCCTAGACACTTCTTTTCCTCTCTCTGACCCAAAGCTCATCATGACCATAGGTAAGAGTCGGAATGTAGATTGACCAGTAAATCAAGAGCTTCGTCTTACAGCTCAGCTCCTTCTTCACCACGACGGACCGGTGCATCGATTGTATTACTGCAGAAGCTGCACCGATCCACCTGTCAATCTCCCGTTCCATCCTTCCCTCACTCGTGAACAAGACTCAAAGATATTTAAACTCTTCCACTTGAGGCAGGAACTCTCCACCAACCTGAAGGGAACAAACCACCCTTTTCCGACTGAGAACCATGCCCTTTGACTTGGAGGTTCTGATTCTCACCCCAGCCACTTCACACTCGGCTGCAAACCACCCCAGTGCACGCTGGAGGTTTTGATTGATTGATTTATTCTTTCAAACATGCTTCTGGTTTGATGGTTCTGGTTTGATGGGGCCAACAGGACAACGTCGTTTTTTAATAAATCTGCAAAAATGTCAAAAATTCTGTGTTTTTCTGTCAATATGGGGTGCTGTGTGTACATTAATGAGGAAAAAATGAACTTAAATGATTTTAGCACATGGCTGCAATATAACAAAGAGGGAAAAATTTAAGGGGGTCTGAATACTTTCCGTACCCACTGTATGTCCATGGTGATGCATGACTAGACTAAAGTGACAATTCGCATTAATAATTTGAGAATAACATCTCATCTTAAAGGTGCACTTTCATTCTAAACAATAAAAGTTCCTGTTTACATTCTGTGGTACTCACCAAATCACACTCTGTGTATTACTCTGGTCCTACAAAGATGGTGATTGCCTCATAAAACATTTGCAAAGCCAATTTACTATCTTGGAGTATTTTCCCTGCCTTTTTCCTCACATTACTGCATGAGACACAGGAACATTTGCTCCATAGCACTGCCACAAGACAAAAACACCACTGTGTGCCTTTAAGGCCATGTCCCCATGTACACTGGTATTTTTTTTTTTTTTTAAAGACAGCTTTTTCTATGCGTTTTGGCCTTCCATCCACACACAAACGTTGTTTCAGATCACTGAAAATTGAGCTTTTGGAAAACTCCATCCAGAGCGAAGATTTTTAGACACGCCATTTTCAGCATTGAGGTGCAGACCAGGAAAACCGTTTCTGGCTTGTCAAGTGAGCGTGTGCCACTATGTCATTTGCTTGACATCAAGGTGTGTGATGTTATCTCCTTTGTTTATCAAGCAATATTGTGTAGTAGTGGATGAAACCAAACTAGTCATGGTTGTAACATTACTAAGCAGGCCTACACTTACAGACACAATTACTCACCCGCTATGTTGAGAAACAGAGTCATCAGAAAACACTACGGAGGTCACTGTTATTGAGTATAGATTCAATAACACTCCCACATTGATCTATTCCAGTGTATGTGTGGGATAGGCCTGAGCAATCTGATTTGACCGAGATGTGAAAAAAAACTCAGTTTGTTTATATGTTTTATACTGGAATCCATCAATTTCAAGAACCAAGACAGATGTACCGATAAACCTAAAGAGCATTTGTAAATACTGTACTTGTAATTTTTATAGTATGGATGACAGCACACTTTCATATATACATACACACACACACACATATACACACACACATATATATATATAT